TGATATGATCGTATGCATAGAAAACACCAAAGACTCAGCAAAAAAAAAAAAAAAAAAAAAAAAAACCAAAGTAAACAAACAAACTACTGAAACTCATAGGAAGATTCAGCAAAGTGGCAGGATACAAGATTCCTCTATACTAATAATGACAGCAGTGAAAAGGAAATTATTAAGGCAATGCCATTTACAATAGCTGCCCAAAAGATAAAATATTTAGGAATAAATGTAACCAGAGAAACAAAGGACCCATACCAAGAAAACTACAAAACAGTACTACAAGAAACCAAAAGAGACTTACAAAAGTGAAATAATATACCATGTTACTGGATAGGAAGACTCAATATCATGAAAATGGCAATACTACCCAAAGCAATCTACACATACAATGCAATCCCAATCCAGATTCCAATGACATTTTTTAGAGATGGAAAAAACAATTACAGGAGGTGGGGCTTGATGGTGGATAGGGCAGAGATGCAGTGAAGTTTGTCATCAGCAATACTACAGAATACCAGTTGAAGTGGGTTCAAGGCAGAGCTCCAAAACTCTGAACTACATAGGTAGTAATATTTAGAAAGTTTGAAGGCTTATAACTAGTGGAGCTTGTAGTGGAAGTAAGAAATCGTGTAATTTTGAATCTGCTGGGCTCAGCAGCCCAGAGCCAACTTGGGTGAGACCAAATGGCAAGACCAAGCGGGAGAACAGACCCACCATGGAAGAATGCCATGGGAAACTTGGAGCAAAGGTGGACAATACACTTTATCAGTTTTGCTTTGTTCTGATTTTCTTTTTATTTTTGTGGTATCTGTTCATTGGCCACCCACTGTTTGTGCACCGCCATTCTGGTGAATACAAGGGATGCCTGAGCGAGTGGCTACCTCCCCACCCCCACCACTGGTGGGTTCTTCTGCTGCACATGTGCACAGATACTCTCAGTCCAAGAGCCAGCCCTGAACTGTTTTTAATAGGAAAAAGTCCAGAACAAGGGGTGTGGAGAGGGAAAAAGAGTTTAAAAACAAAACAGGCTGAAAATTAAATTAAATCCTGAGGTATAGCATAACAACCAACAGTGGCATCTTGAAACTTATCAGACGGTCTTGAAGGCAAGAAGCTGAAAGAGGACATTAAAGTCATAATCATATTAGGCTATAGATTTTTTTTTTTCTCTCTCTCTCATCTTTCTGTGATTATAGATTACAGTATGCAATCTAAATTTTTGGTGGGTTTTTTTTGGTGACTTTTTTTTTTCCTGGTTTTTTTTTTTTTTTTTTTTTTGCTGTTGCTGTTTTGCTGTTTTATGCTCCCCTTTTTACCTTTGGGGGACTCCTTCTCTCCACATATTATCCCAGAAGAGACAGCAACTGCTGCCATAGAGTTAAGTCACAATCACACCCTATAAAACACCAAAATCCAGGGAAGAAACAATACCATTTGCAATACAACAGGAAGGCAGACAACACCTGTGAAAATTACTTTGAATTAAACAATACAAAGAGTGAAAATAGAAGCTCACATCCTAATCACATCTACATAGAGGCAATCAGAAAGCATAAAAAATACCAAACCACACACTCAATTAAGTATTAAGGTCACAGATAAACACTTAACATGCCCAAGAAGCAAAAGCAGATGACCATATCAGCACATGTCTAGAAACAAGATAAAATGTCTGAGACAATTGACCTAGAGGTGGACCTGGACTACATTTTGGAAGGAGGGCAGGCCTTAGAAATGCCTGGGAAGGAATTCAGAAAAATGATAATAAAATGTTTCAAAACACTTTACAATGGAGTTGAGAAAAATAAAGAAGAAGTCAAGAAAGCACTACAGGAACAATCAAATAAGAGATAGAGTATTGGAAACAATTCAAAACCTACAGAAGGCAGTCCAAATTATCAATAATAGAATATCAGAAATAGACAATGCACTGAAAGGGCAAAGCAATAGAATAGAAGAGATGGAAGCCAGAAATAGTGAGCTGGAAGACAAACCTCTCAATACCGCTAAGATAGAAGAGCAAATAGAAAAAAAAAGGATAAAAAAATCTGAAGAAGATCTAAGATTCATGTTGGACAACATGAAGAAGAATAACTTAAGAATTATCGGCATTCCAGAACAAGAAGAATCACACAAGTCCACAGAGGAAATAGTTGAAGAACTGTTGGAAGAAAATTTCCCTATCATCCTGAAAAGTGAAAAGATAAATATTCAAGAAGCTCAATGAACGCCAGGAAGGATAGCCCCCAAAAGAAAATCACCAAGACATATCATAATCAAGCTCTCCAAAATCTGAGATAAGGACAGAATCCTGAAAGCAGCTTGGGAAAAGAGAAGTGTTACATACAAAGGCAAACAAGTCAGATTAAGCTCAGATCTCTCAGCAGAAACCATGCAGGCAAGAAAGCAATGGGGAGACATATATAAAACCCTGAAAGAAAAAAAAAAAAAAAACCACAAAAAACTGTCAACCAAGAATCCTTTATCCAGCAAAGCTATCAATCAAATATGACAGTGTAATCAAAACATCCCAGGATAAATAGAAACTAAGGGATTTGCCAAAGCCAACCCTACGCTACAAAACAGCCTAAAGGGAGGTCTGTGGAATGAGAATCAACAAGATCAGACAACAACCAGAGATTGTCATACATGGCAGCACCTCCCAGAATTAAATCGACAGAATGTACTTTTAGATAACACTATCTTAAAGTATTGGAAAAGCAGAAAAAAATTTAAGGGGTTAGTAAGGAGCTCTGGTAGCGTAGTGGTTACGAATCGGGCTGCGAACCTTAAGGTCAGCGGTTCGAAACTACCAGCCGCTCCGCGGGAGAAAGATGAGGCTTTCTACTCCCGTAAGGATTTACACCCTCGGAAACCCTGTACAGGGTCGCTATGGGTCGGAACCGACTCGACGGCACTTAACAACAACAACAACCTTTGACATAGAAATCGGAGTTTTTCATATATTTGCATTTGATCATTTATTTCAATGGTGTCATTATCCACACAATTGAAAGTCTTTGTGTAGTCAATAAGCACAAGCATCTTTCTGGTATTCTTTGCTTTAGCTAAGATCCATCTGTAGTCAACAATGATATCCCTTGTTCCACGTACTCTTCAGAATCCAGCTTGAACCTATGGCTCTTCCCTGTCAATGTATTGTAGCAGCCATTTTAAAATTAATATGCAAACAATTAAAACTTCTTGTAAAATATCCAAGCAGTTAAACTGTTTGGTACAATTGCCCATGATGTTTTTACACATCATGTGACAGCTTTTGTCCTGGATACTCTTTTCAAGGAGGTTTGCAAAGTAAATAGATATTTACTATAGAAGATAGACTATAGAAGATAGACCTGTCTCTAGGGCAGAGTGCATTTGTTAGTTTTCTGATGAGATTAATAAATATGTTTCTCTCCGAGGCAAAAAATCTGGGTATATTTAATATCAACCTTTCAAAGAATGGAGGGTTACTAAACTCAGAATTCCTCAGCTGTGATTAATATCATCCCTGTCAGTTCAAATGTACCTGGTCAGTTCCACATTACCCTGTTGGGAATTGGGGTCAAAGGAAATAAATTCTAGTGAAGCAAAACTCATGTTGCCTGCTTTGCTGTGATTAAATTAGTCCTTTTTTCTCTAAAGTTATTGGGTAGAAATGTGACAGGCTAACTTGTAGACCTGCAAACAAGGTAACCTCTCAGACACCACACAGTCCTTCAGAAAAAAAACAAACAGGGAAATAAAATCTAGTAGGTGCTAATAAAGAATCCACATAAAATCCAAAGTGTGGGCTAATATGCGGGATGAATGGGTAGTAAAGATAAAAAAGGTGTGCAGAACACATTAGTTTATTTTGTTGCAACTCCTAATCTATTTAGCCTTAAACTCAATATAAAGAATAGACATCAATTTTAATCTTGTTGGATAAACAACAACAAAAAAGAAACAAAACAAAGCAAAAAAAACCCACACAAAACAACCCAAAATACCTCAAAGACAAAAATAACACAGGTTCTTTAGAATGAAATGAATACCCTATTAGCTTTGTAATCTTTACCTGGCGTATCTTTTCTGTTATTAGTTCTAAGAGACTCCACATTATAAAAACAAACAAAAACCACCTGGTGGGGAACTGATTTCCTCATTTTAAGAGATCACCCCCTCCTTGTTCTTATTTTCCAGCCCTAAATTAAGTTAACATTAGCGTCGTGTCTCATATCCACCATTCCACCTTGATATGAAAGGTGAACATGTGCTCAAAAGGAAAGATGAGGTGAAGGAGCTTCATAGATAGTAGTCAAAAGACAACCAACTCAATTGTGAAGTTCCTCTATATTATTAAGGTGTTATTAAGACGATGAATTTTGTTTTTAATTAAAAATTACATGGCACGTTTCTGCGTCCTCTATATCCTTCGCGAAGATCTTCAGGGACCAAAGGATTGTCTGAATTGGATTTGCAGAGCAAGGAGCAGATGGATGACAACACTTTGGGGATGATGAGTGCTGGAGATTATTCAGACCGCAGGAAGTCCAAACATATGTTATCGTTTATGTTAATGTTTGGATAGTACATTCTGGTGGTAAAGGTGATCTGGGGTGGCTTGAAGGGTCGTCTAAAAGAAATTGGATTGATAGGATCCAATCGTTTGGACCCATGATGGTTGTTTGCCAGTGGAACAAGTCTTCCCCCACTGAACCTGTTGAGATTTGGGTGTTGCAGGTCAGGTAGAGGAGCTCCTTGTGGATGTGATTTAGAGTCATTGTCCTGCTGCAGCAGACAGTCTCTGGCGCTGGCCCTGATACCAGGTAGTGGGCGTCCTCTGGGATCGCAGGGTGGGAGGAGTGTTGACGTGTGGAGTTGGCAAATCTGAGCTCTGAGAGCAGGAAGTGGGGTGGAGGGAGGCGTAGGTGGAAGGGGACGATGGCGGAGAGGAGGGCCGGTGAAGGCAGGAGAAAGGCGCTCCAGCAGACATGATGGACTGACTGTGTGTCTGTGGCTCATGGCCGCTGTGCTGCCTGGAGAGCCCGGTGCTCAGGGGCCTTGCCTTGCAGGGGCCAGGCTGTCCCAAGACGCCCAGAGACACTGCTGCCCCTGCTCCAGGTCGCCAGCCGAAGGCTCTGCCGGTTGCCGCCCACATTGGAGCTCTGTGGGACTGGCTGGGATCCTCCCTGTGAGGTCATAGCGGTCAAGTTGAGTACGTGGTGGCAACGTGAGCGAGGGCAGAGTCCAGGGGAAGATGGGGGTGGGTGGGGGTACGCTTGCTCAACCCTCACATGCTTTGTTCTTGTAAGTAGTGTTGCTTGCCCCACCACAGTAAAGCTGTTCAAATGAATAAGAACAGCTCTGGGAATTTCACCTAACCCTTACCCAGATTTAACTTCCTTTAACATTTTACCTCATGGGTAGCTTTACCCTATTCTTTCTCCCCCTTTATTTTCCTCCCCTCTCTTCCATGCCAGTGTTGATAAGAAATCACATCAGATGGCAGGTATCAATTATCACATGAAATAATTTCCAGCTGCATAACTATTACCTAATATACCTATTCAACCAATTTTGGAAGGCAGGTTAACAATAATTTGACCTAATTTTAAAGAGGGAGAGTGTAGATGGGTGAATGGACAGTCTAATAGTAAGATAAAATAATTAATTGAAAGGGAACTATTGTAAATTTCTTGTGTTGTTGCTATTAAGTGCGGTCGACTTGGTCAGACTCATAGCAACCTTGTTCAAACCGGTCTTGCTTATCTGACGGCACTGCACCAAAAAAAGAGCATGGCTGAATGCCAGGGCATTTTAAAAATGTAGACAGCACATATAACACAATAAGATCTTGAGATAAGCTTACAAAGTTCTCTTTTTCCAAGATAATGAGACTTAAACATTGTTTTGCAAGTTCAGGAGCCATTAACAACCATTTTGATGGGGTTGGGCATCAGGACTATGTGATATTGGACGAGTTCTATAAAGAAAAAGAGGGGTAGCCATGGCCTTTACATCCTGCCAGTAACCAAAGCTATCTCCTAAATAGCTTTTGCACTCATCTGAACTTCATCTCCAATGTAGGATCATCTGAAGCTATTTTAGCTTTTTGTTATTTTTTCCCCTGACATAATGTAATCCTTTTCTTAGAGTTCAACTGTAAGGTTATAGATACTGACCTATTGAAACTCTATGAATAAAATTGATACAAGCATTCTTTCCATGTGGTTTCCTATTGAAACAGTATTTAATTCCTGAAACAGTCTTCTTTCATTATCTAAGACAAATGTTGTCAAGACAAAGGTGGCTCCACACTATCTCCTTTACAGCTAATACTAACCTAATGTCATTTATAATTTTAGTGTTCAGCTTTAAAATGTGAGGGATGGACTAGATTAATGTCTCTTAAACCAAAAATCAAACTCAATGTCATTGAGTTGATTCTGACTCATAACAACCCTATAGGACAGAGTAGAACTGCTCCAAAGAGTTTCATAGGCTGTAAATAGTATTTGATAAAAATAATATTTGATACGTTTTCATGTTAAAGTGAAATATAATCTACTTTACAAGCTTTTAAATGTTATATATTATCACCTCACAGTTTATATGACAGAAGTTCTATTTAGCTGATATTTTAATCATGGTCTTCAAAAGTCAGCATATTGAATTATTTCTACATTTTTGATGTGTCTCTGTAGGACAAACACTGTACTGCTAACTGAATGCTTGGCAGTTCAAACCCACAAGCTGCTCCTCAGAAATCTTAAACACGTTTACTATGAGCTGGAACAGATTGGATGACCCTTAGCAATGACAAACTATCAATCCGTTCTCAATTACTGTATTTTTACACAAATAAAATATGTCTTCAACTGCTTTCCTTCCTCCAGAGATATTTTCTGTTCTTTACAAGAAAACTATTATGCATGACTATTTGCAACTCTTACAATTGTAAAGGTAGAAGTTTTGTAACAAAAACAGGGGAGTGGTTGGTTAATCTTACAGTCCAGAAACAAAGAACCCTAGGATCATCAAAGGAGAAGCGCACCAGCAGAATGAGAGACCTTATCCCAAGAAGCAGCAACACCAGAGATGGAGGCAGAGATGGGGCAGAGATGGAGACATGGAGAGAGGCAGCAGCTGAGGACTCTAGATTCATGGGAAATGAGGGATTAACAGATGGTGGCCAGGAGGCAGAATTGCAGAATGTGCCTTTTGGTGGTGTAAATTATTGTATATGCCTGAGTGTTTTTTTTAAAAAAGCTAAAGTGAATAGAGAGAACACTGGTAACTGATGGTACATGGAGGGGATTATAATCATTGTAATGAAACAAGGTGTATGGTTTGTTGAAAGTAAAACTGATGATCAGCCCTGTAAATGTTTACTCAATCCACAGTAAAAACCTTAAATAAAATAATAATAAAAAAGAATTATTCAGAATCTCTTTGTAAGAATTTCTTGGGTATTTTTTATTTTATCTCAACAAGATGGCATATTATCTTTGTAATAAAGTCCTTAATTCATTAAAAAAAAAAAGAAAATTATTATGAATTGAGTGAAGGTTTATAGAGATCATCAGTTTTATAGTCAACATATCGTATCTTTGTTTAATCTCAATTGCAATTCCCTCATTGTAACATCACTTATCCTACTTCCTCCTGTTTCTTGTCTTCATTCCTCCTTCTCTCCCTGCCCTTCTGAACTTTGTCCTTTGGTAAATGCTGCTCTTTTGATCCCGAATGGTTGACCATTCTGTAATAGACATCAACCAAACCACACCCAATCCAACAAAGAGTGAATGGAAAATGGTGCACATGCTTCAATTTTCTCACAGCACCTACGAGAGAGAGATGGTGAGAGCCTAAGAACATACATTAGCACCTCACTAATATTGTTGTCCCCCTATATACCTATCTATTGCTTAGCTGAAGGTTGAGTCTTGAGGGGCGAGTTCAGTCCCAGGCCTGAAGGGTGACCAAAGACCATAATCTTGGGGTTCTGCCAATCTCTATGTGACCAGTATGACTGGTCTTTTTATGAATTTGGGTTTTGTTCCACATTTATTTTGCACTCTATCTAGGACCTGCTAAAGGGTGTTCTTTGAACTGAGAACAGTCCAAGAACAGGAGACAACAACCTGAAATTACCATACATGACAACACCACCCAGAACTCAATCCAGATATAGAAGTATTTAAAGGAAAACAAAGTACTTAAAGGAAAACAAAAGGATTAATGAACCATGCTACAAGATTGAAAATAGGGAAATGGAAATGTCAATGTATAATGAAGTCAACCACAAAGCAAAACGAGGGAATAGTGTAGATACAGAACTTCCAAATGGGAAGAAATTCAAATAGATTTCAAGATAAAGTTTTAAATGTTTAAGCTGTTTTAAGCAGGGAAAAAGTAATAAATTACAGGATAACTTCAAAGAAAAATAATGCACCTGTACATCAAAATTTTAAAAAAAGGAAAACCAGAAAGATTTAGTAAACATTAACACAACAAAAATAAAAATGACAAGAGCACCCACAAACAAAATGAACTCATTATAGAAAATTATGTGGAACAAAGAATCCAGCAGCACCACACACACACACACACACACACACACAAACAAAAACAAAAACAAAAGCCGTGCACAGAAAATTGAGAGCAATCAATTCATACCTATTGATAATTACATTGAATATAAATGGATTAAATGTATCAGTCAAGAGACACAGAAAAGCAGAATGGATAAGAAAACAGGATTCTTCAATATGCTGTCTGTAAGAGACATATAAAAAAAATGAAGATTAAATGCCCATCAACAGAAGCATGGATAAATAAACTTTGGTACATACATACAGTGGACTACTTTGTAAATGCTGAAAAATTAAGATGAATCTGGTAAATACGTAATATTATGGTTGAATCTGGAGGACTTTACTCTGAGTGAAATTAGTCAATTATAAAATGTCAAATATTGTATGAGACCATTGTTGTAAAAAGTCTTAAGAAGTATTTTCTTGATAAAAATTTTAACATGGGTGACAGGGTAAGCAATATACAAGAGGGAGGTTAGCAGAGGAAAGATGGAGATATTGAAAGACACAGGGAGAATGCAACAGATAAAGTGAATAGAGGTACATACTGTTAACTGTTGGTACATGGAGGGGATTGCAACCATGTAATGAAACAAAGTATATGATTGTTAAGTGCTGTAGAGTAGGTTCCAACTCATAAATTAGCCTGTATAGGGTTTCCAAGGAGCGGCTGGTGAACTTGAAGTTCAAACCAACTTTGTGGTCTCCAGTGCATTATTCTAAAGTATATGATTGTTGTTGTTGTTTAGTGCCGTCGAGTCGGTTCCGACCCATAGCGACCCTGTACAGGGTTTCCGAGGGTGTAAATCTTTACGGGAGTAGAAAGCCTCATCTTTCTCCCGCGGAGCTGCTGGTAGTTTCGAACCACTGACCTTAAGGTTCGCAGCCCGATTTGTAACCACTACGCTACCAGAGCTCCTTTTAAAATCTGATGATCTGCTCTGTAGCCTTTCACTGAATTCACAATAAAAAGTTGCAAATAAATAAACAAAAAGTGGGAAAAGGACTATGATTTGGATATATACACTATTGCAGATTAGAAAATTTTACTGGATTGATTTTGCGGCCCTCTGACCACCTTGGTAGGGTATGATTTATGACCATTTGGCCCTGGTATCCCAATATTCACTAATGGCATGCTCTGGCAAGTCCTTGAGAGTAAGACTGGTTCTCTTAGGGTAGTTCTAGTAATCCACTTTGGAATTTACTCTGCCTGAGGACAAAGTTTTTTATGTGGCCATTTAATAGTCAGAATGAACTTATTTATGAATTTATGCCAAGACTCAAAATGGAGTTGGGGCTCCCATTGTAAACCATGCTGTTGAGCCATTAAGTGTTTTCAAGTTAGTTCTGACTCATAGTGACCCTATATAGGGTTTCTGACGAGCTGCTTATGGGTTTGAAACATTGACTTTGCAGTTAGCTGTGTAATGCTTATACTACAGCACCAAACCAGGACTCCACTATAAAACATAGCCTTTCACAATCAAGTGCTTAGAATTTAAGCTCTGACACACATATGTTGGAAATATATGTATGAATATAGTACAGCATACAGGAGATAAACGAATGTAAATTTCTTAGCCATAACCAAAATACCTTGATGGAATTAGTCTCTGGACCTGAAGGCTCAGACAATAGTTTCGTGTGGGCCATCCAAGTCAATTAATACAACAATCCAGAAATATTCTACATCCTACTTTGTTGAATAGTGACTGGGTTCTTAAAGACTTGTGTAATGTG